GCTATTTTCTAATAGAATTAACTTAGGTCAAGCATACTCATCAAATTGTGACGATTAAGAGTAAGAACACAAGGATCCGAAGAATACCAATGTTAGCAATAAAGGTAGCAAGAATAGTGATGACCTAAATACCAAGAATATAGGCTGGCTCAATTCTGTTCATATTTGACATCAAAACTCCGATCCACCCTCCAAGGAGTTCATTTGCATTAAATTTTGCATTTCATTATTTAATTGCAGTTTGAGTTCTGATTCAGTCAATCCATAAAGCCTTGATATGTTCACGTGAATGTAACGAGGTACATGTAAGGAGTGTTAGCCATGGTGGTGGTTCATTTGGTGCATTCAAGAAATAGAAGTTAAAAAACAATAATATATCATAGCATCCATCACATGGCCAAAGAGAAGACCAGTGATAATTGTGATGCAAGCGGCAAATTAGGTGGTGGAGAACAATGGGATGACAAGGAGAGGGTGGCTTAGTTCTCATAGTAGTGGTCAAGCAGTAGGCGAAGGGAAATACAGATGCGATGACGTGACAGTGAAAGACAAAACATGATTAAACAACAATTGGTAATAAGATGGCGACAAGTAAAGAACTAGTTTCTGTAGTCTTGTACTGGAACTTTACTTCATTAAGAGGCATGCAGGGCCATGCATATTCTTGAGCTAGTAAATAATGCACGGTGTAACCTAAAATCAAAATTACATGTCTCGCTGAGACAAGTTTAACTTGTACAGAAAGGCATTAAGCTTACCTCACCAGCATCAGTAAGATAACCACCCATTGCAGAAAATTCCCGCCGATATACAGACATGAGCAAATTTATGGCACCCTACAGCATTGAAAAATAAACGGAAACTTAATTAATGTTTCAAAAGACAAAGGGATAAATAAACGTATATACATGTCAAATAATGACATAACAACATAAGAGCAGATCCGCTTGAAACTGCAATTAATGTCAGTGCATATGTTTTCATAAGGTTGACATCCAGAGAACAGCAAAAAACAAATATTAGATTGAACTGATTCTATAGGCGTATATACCTCTCTAATTTCGAGTGTAGGCATATGAGGAAGAAAGTCATTGCCGACAAAGAAACACAGAAACACAAAGTCATCCACCAGCCTATCGAAGTCAATTTCAAATGGAGGATTGGGAATATCCATCTCATATCCCAAATATTCTCGCAAAACCCAGATGTTGAGAAACTGGCAACAAAATATAGAAATATCAGAAGAATAATCAATAACAATTAACAAGGACAGAAGCAAAAGATAAAAATGAGATCATGGAGATATCATCTAGAGTTATCCAACCTGATACTTTTTCTTATAAATAGGGATATCATCTAAAAACTTCCCACTTGCATCTTGAATGCGGTCATTTGTTCCACCACGACATTCAGCAGCCAGATGACCGCCTTGACCACAGAGAAAACATTTTTCTTGGTGCCCAGGAGGATTAATTACCTGCACCATCAGAAAATTGGAAAAAGAGCCTTCTACTGAAAACGGAAGCTTAAGATTGGAGTTTTGTGCAGATACAAAAACAACTGACCTCCCTCAGTATTGAGAAATGGACTTCATGTGTAGCTAGTGACAGCATGATCAGGTCTGCATCCTATTTAAAACATATTTGAATTACTGTTTTAGCACATGGTAACTCATGTATACGAGCGATAAGGACACAAGAAAATAACAGTTAGAGACAAGTCAAAAGTCACCAAGAACGACAAACATTTAGACAACATATTTCATTGTTTTTCTCATGCTCACCAGACCATATAGGCAGTG